ATATATATATATACTAAAAGAATTTTTTTACTATTTCAGTTTTAATGAAATATATTTCAATTTAAATGAAAACTTAATTAGTAGCTTTATTATACCTCAGGTCCATACACCTCTAATGCACTGGGATAATATCGTTTATCTTCATGCAATACAACTGCCATAGAAGATCCTTGTTCCACTTGTTCTCGTGACTCATCCTTATCTTCTTCCATTTCTTCATCCGATCGTTCTCTATCCTCAGTGTCATCACCAATATTGCCATATTCATTTTCATCTTCACTTTCTGACGCCAGATCAGGACCAATATAATTTCCAAACTCATCATATAAATCCGCGTCCATGATATTTACATAAACTTGGGTTTCTTCAGTATCTCTCTATAAAAAGAATATTTCCTATAATACTTGATTTAAACTTCTCAAACTTATTTTTTTCGTTTTAATTTTTATAAAAGTTCTATTAAACATTTTTCGTAAATGTATGAAATGTAACATAACCTAAGTTAAAAGTATTTCATGTAAATTCACATTTGATATGTATAATTGTTCTCTATATTTTATATTATTATTATTAATATACACATACATTTACAAAATGATAAACATTAATACATTTAATTATACGCGATTTATTTCACCCGGCATAAATTGACATGCATACATTCTGCAATACAATGGACGCGTTCAAGTTGACAAAGTGGCTAGCCTGCTCGCCGAGCAAATAAGCATAATTGGTTGTTACTTATAGATCCAATCTAATTTAACCAATCATACTTAATCTCGGTAAGCATGCCCAGTCACTTTGCAACAGTGAGTGAGCGCTCGCTGCGTTCAGCAGAATGTTTAATTTACAACTGTTGGAAGTTTTCTTCGCGATTGGATTATGCTTTTAGATCAAGAGAAATTGTTCTATCTCAGTAACAATCATAAAATGGTTGCAAAACTATTGTTTTGCTGAACGCAACTACTGATGTATTCTTCCAGATTTAAAATGCTAATTTAAAAGAATAAGCGCAATAACAGCGAGCGCTCACTCAATTATTAAGTCTGCTGAATGCGCCCAATAAATGCATTCAGTACTAAGCGGTCAATGAGCTCTTGCATCTAATTGACATATTCTAATAGATTGAAAAATAATAAGCTATTATTCTATATCCAAATCTTAAAACTATTATTATTAAACCTAACTGTCTTAAAGTAGATAATGCAATAATTTTTTTAAAATCATTCTCAAAATTAGGTATAATTCCAGATATAAATATAGTAAGAATTGAAATAAAACTTAAAATCAATCTAACCTCTGTCTCTATTAAAAAATTATTAAATCGAATTATTAAATATACTCCTGCAGTTACTATTAAACAAGTGCAAGGATTTACTAAATGCTCAGTGAGCTTTTATATCTGTTTGATCTATATTTTTAGTTCTTCATTCTTGAGCATTCAGCAGTTGTAGTACTGAATGAACCCAATATATGGAATGGTACAAAATTACCGGAATTGTGAGATTTGTATGAAGAAAACATAAGCCAGTCTCATTAATTCCGATTAAGCTAATCGGTCGATTAAATTTCAGTATTGTCAACTGCAGACTTGAAAACAGTCCTTTTCTAGCGAGATGCCGAGTATGTATAATTTTTTCGTGATTGAAGAAATACGATTAATAAGGACTCGTGCTGTTATTATCACATTATCGTTCTTTACAGCTGCCAGATAATTAGTTTTGCAGACTGTATTTCTTGAATTTTGCCGAATGTATATACAACCAGTTACAGAATGATTGCAACACCTTTTTTTCGATGAGTTTCAAAATGCAGCTCAACGAGCGATTGATTTTTATTTATAGATCCATGAGCAAGAATCAATCACTCGGAGAGCAAGCTGCATTCCAAAACCCATCGAAAAAAAAGTGTTGCAATTTTTCTGTGACCGATTATATATGCATATTCACGCATGTGTGATGGTACAGTCACAATAGAAGGAATAAGGAATTAGGAATAAGGAATAACGATACCAACTTATCAGAAACCATATATTCCGGTGCATCCAATTTCTGATAGATTGAAATCTTTATTCTTTATTCCTAATTCCTTATTCCTTCTATTGTGGCTCTTGATTCCGGTCCGCATGAATTCGTTTCCTTATGTCTCATAGTGTGAAAAAACGTAGAAGCGTAATCTATGCAAGCCAATAATATAACTGTTCTCATAGATACAACAGAAAGATTTCTTGTGACATTAACACAATTATGGCGTTTCCGCTCCATGAGACATAAGAAAAGACATGTCAATGGAACGCAATGGAATACTTGCGACTGAACTTCATTCTTCCAATTCCGCATTGCGCATTATGTTCCACTCTATGAGTTCACGTCATATAAGAGTGCCTATCCATGCAACGGAATAGCGTAAAAGTATAAACAATTTATGACAATAGAGAAAAATATTAGAGCACTCTTCGTCTCGATCCCAAGCTTGGGGACTTATTATGTTCTTTAGACGAAGTGAAAATTTAAAAAATGAGCAAACTCACTAGGTGTTAATCAATAAAGTTATAAATATTCTAGTAAATTCGATCATTTGCGTAATTTTCAAGAAATCGTTTCAAGAATCGTAATAAGCCCTCTGGGGCTCGATTGTATATTTTGAAATGAGGTGAAAATTATAAAAGTGAGCAATGATAATTAGGTATTAACCAATTAAATTATGAATATTTTAATAAATTTGTTCACTTTTGTAATTTTCACTTCATTTCAAGCATAGACTTATGAAATAGACAGAGCATTTATTCGAGAGAAGCTGAAGACAACATTGAAGGACAGCTCTATTTCAAACATAGTTGTTTCTCTCTTTTACAGCGGGGGGGGGAGGGCAATCAGCTTGATCGTAAGGCCATAACTCTCGAACTCTATCTTCGTTGCTCTCGATCACTTCCCGCGACTTGTCGCGGCGACCAATCAATTCACTATTAGAAAAGAAGAGAACTACTCCGCGATTATTTCTTTCTCTTTCTATCAAATCTTCAGCTTCTCTCATATGAATGCTCCGTTTATTTTATAAGTCTATGATTTCAAAGTATACCCCTTGGCGGTCGATTCTGTATCTTCAAATAAGGCGAAAATTACAAAAGTGAGCAAATTTACTAGGTGTTGACCAATGAAAGTATCAGTATTCTAGTAAGTTCGCTCACTTTTGTAATTTTCATCTCGCTTCAAGATACAGAATCGATCTCCTGATCTCTTTTCCGAGTTGATAAACTTCTGTCCTGTCACTGAACCACAGCTCTGATGCTGACAGCTTTTCTGTGTCTATTTCCTTTAAATTTCTTACAAAAGCCATTTCATGCAGCGAAGCTTCGCTGGCGAAGAACTCCCACTCTGTCGATTTGTGCGAAAATGCATAGAAAATGCATTGTGCGAAGCTTCGCTCAAAGTTCAACACTGTCCAACTATGAGTGAAGCAACGCTAACTCTGGCTATAGCTCACTTGATTGGCCAAATATTTCGAAGCATTTTTTGATTAGTCAATTTTTTAAATTGTTTGTTCAATGCTCTTTTATTCACGGCATAGTAGGCATAATAGGAGTAACTTCGCCAGCGAAACTTCATTCCATGAAAAGAAAGGAGGCAATAGCTTTTCAATGCTGAATTTGAATTGTGATACGAAGTGTGACGGAGTGAGGATAAAGTTAGCTTTTCTTTGCTCGCATGAAAAAGCAGCTTTATAGATATATAATTTCCACTGCGCGACAAAAGTTGAACTCAATTCAATTTTTGCCGCGCGGCCGAAGAAATATTACATCATTTCTAGAAGTTTTGCATGGTAATACCGACTTAAGAACATAGAATTATTGGTGCGATAACTTCCGCCGCGTGATAAGCATTGTCGCGTTCTGTACGAGAGCCATCAGACGCAGCACGAACGCCCATGCACTCATGTTTTTCCAGATGAGGTGCACATTAATGAGCACTGAAACTAGAAATATTAATATTATTTAATGAATTTTTTGTAATACCTTTGTAAATATATGCACTTTGAATACATAAAGATAATAATTCAAACAAGCTATTAGTTTTTACAAAAAATATTCAAAGATAATCTTTTTTTTAAGCCGTCACAATGATGTTCCCCCTTAAAAGAATACATCAGAGCTGGGCTTTAGTTGCATATTTCGGCTGATTTTTCTCTTGGTTCTTGCCTAAATGCTGATCGACATTTAGACTGCGCACGGGTTGGTGAAGTAAGGGGCAGGAACCAAGCTGAAATATGCAACTAAATCCCAGTTCTGGAATACACTAATAACTGGGAACGCTCACTCAACTATTGAATCCATTGAACACAGCCATTGTTTATGATTTAAGTATAAATTTTTTAAAAAAATGTATTAACTAAATTTAAAAAAGCACTTTTTGGAAAAATTTATTCACGAAAATAAATTCACGTTAATAAATGAATAAATGCTTGATTAAAAAAAAGAGAAATGTATTAAAAAAAGTATCTGTTATACTAGGGCCAATTAGAGGGCTCGATTCATAGCTTCTTTACGTAATCGCGCAAAATTCTTGAAAAGAAACGTATACGATGGTCTAGACAAATATTACGGTATATGTTACATAAAATATACTAGTATTTCTCTAGTTTTTTGTATGTGATACTTTTCAAGAATGGGAGCTCAGAAATTTTAAATGGATTTGAAGCACATGGCGAGTATTTCCTTTACTATAAAGGATTTAAAGATCTATTTCTGAAATTTTTTGATTATTTTTAAAGAGATACATTTTGAAAAAAATTATTTATGAAAATATCATTAAATGTATGTGCTTAATAAAATAATAGAGGACATACAGTAGATAGAGTTCTAGATTTATAAGAAAACCGCGACTAGTGTTAAATGTTCTGATTGCATCATTGCAATCAAGTGGCTTAACAATCAATCATAAACTGGTTTTTATTTATTAAAAATAATGCTTAATGTATGATTGGTGGATTTCACAGTCCGGTTTGCAAAGACGTCATTTTTAATACTTTTTCTAGTACTTTTTGGTACCTTTATACTGATATAAATCGGCTTTTCTGATAAATTTAGATGTGCATTCCATGCATTTCACGCAAGGTATGCGTAATGCATTACTTATCCTTGTTTAACATTCTGTGAACAACAAGGATAAATGATGCATCATGCGTAAACGGAATACACCCTTAGACTGGAATTCCATGAGGAGTATTTATCCCGTATCGCGTAACCAATTAGAAGCAATCTGCTGTTGTGGTTTCGCGTTTTATTGATTAATAATTAGTAACGCGGCGTTATGCCTTCGGCACATCAGCGCGACATGCGATATCCAATGAGTGTACAGCTTTATTGATGTTTTCATTCTGAAGGTATACTCTCATTGGATATCGCGAATCGTGCGCGACGAACATCGCGCTGGTGTGTTAGAGCCATTACGCGATAAATACGCTTCATAGGACTCCATCGTTAGGGTCTGAGCATAAGAATTGTTGTAACACTTACTTAGAAATTTAAGTTGTAGACATAATGGCATATGACGTACGATTTATTACCGTCTCTTGAAAACGGTAATAAGTTGTATGTCATACGCTTCTGCGTTACTTATGTCTACAATTTAAGTCTAAGTAAGTGTTACGACAATTCTTGTGCCTTTAGGATGCCATCCCATGACGCGTATTTGTGTATCGAAGGATCCGATCAATCAGGAGCTTTGCACAATAAAAGGAACAGAGAACCGAAAACAGAAAATAAGAATTTCAATCTATCAGACATTATGTATTGTGTAATATACAGTTTCTGATAGATTGAAATTCTTATTCTCTGTTCCCTTTATTGTACGGAGTCCCTAACATTTACTAGGCTTAAGTTGTAGACGTAAGTAACGCACTAGCTTTCACATATGACGTACAACTTATTGCCGTTTAAGAGACGGCAATAAATCGTATCATGATTGATTGATTTTTTTATGTCTTATATTTTATGCGTTATGCAAGAGTCTGTACTTTCCGCTTAATTTTGTGATTGGCAATCCGTTATCCGCTTAGAGTATATCCATACAAACTTGCAAAGCCGCATATATGCATACAGAAAATTATTCAATTATTTTTGTCATAAAGACAAACGTAAAATACGATTGGATGATTTTCTTTATGCGATTATACAAGTTTGTTTGGAATGGCTCTTATAGACTCTTGCATAAAACATAATGCATAAACTAATCAGAATCTTTCCTTTCTTGCCATTCCATAGAAAAGAAGAATTTCGATTGGTTGATTCCCTTATGCACTACGCATTATGCAAAAGTCTGTGCTGCGGCCTTTATCCAATCAGATTTCTCCTATCGGATTCATTGGAATACACGGTTCCTGGTAGGTTAAAATCATTATTCTTTATTCCTTATTGCTGCTATTGTGCACAGGGTCTTATATCGATGCTTTTATAACCTCATGATTTATGATAGAGGAAAGTTTCTTTCACATATCCTCAATAGTGGCTGATAGTAGTTGATAGTGGCAAAATTCTACAATTAATAAATCTCGCTTTATCGAACAAAATAACGCTTTTTTTCAAGTTCTTTTCGGATAAAAACGTATTAAAGTAATATAATTTTATCGATTTTTTAGCTGGTGAAGCTAAACATTACCTTTATAATAATAAAGATCTTCTCTAATGACAAAATAAAATTAGTTCTTTATTTAATTAAACATATGTGGTGATAAAATGAATCCCTTATTACATACGGTTTTATTTTTATTTATCATTACAGTAAGTAATAGAAAATATAACTTTATATTTGTACATAACAAACTGATCATGTAAATTTTATTATCTTATATTTTTCTTATTTTAAATAATTTATACATATGTACCATAAATAAAAAGTAAATTACTGTGAAATTTATTGGAATCATTACAATAAGTACTAATAATTAATTTTATAGATAGACATTGCTGTCACAGAGTTTTCGGCAAATGATTGTAAGATTTTAGGATTTAATAAAGCCAATATGCTCTGCTCGACCTGCAAACATTTTGCCGAATCTAATCTAGAAAAAATTTAGTATGTAAAAATCTATTCCATCAAAAATTATTACGAGTCTCCAGAGTGTAAATGTATCTCCTTTTTCTAGTACTATATGTAAGGAATGTTGTCTAAAAGATAACGATTATGAATTGTCTGGATCAAAACATTATCCCAAAGCCATCCTTGAAGTATGTACGTGCAAATTTGGACAATATCCACAAATACAAGGTATCTTACAATCACTTCTGATAAAAGTAATATAATATTGCAACTTCAAATTCAATAAATCCATGTCTACTACATTTCTTTTAGCTTTCATCAAAAGCGACCGACCAAAAAAGTATAAGAACCTCAACATAAAGTATGTAAGAGGTTTAGATCCGATCATTAAATTGTATGATGCAGAAAATAAAGTTGAAGATGTACTCGATATACACAAATGGGATACAGACTCTGTAGATGAATTTCTGTCAACTCATCTTTCTAAGGATTAAAATTAAGAAATATTACATTACATGATATTATTTCTATTGAACTCTTAATAAACTATCCTTTTAATATGAATATTACATATGTAGTACATATACAGTACATGATTATGCTTTATTTTCTAATATTGTATGTATTCATATTGCCTATATTTGTTATCTGTAATCATATACAAATTCTTTTTTTAAATCATTCAAATCTTAATATAATATCATGTTTCAATTTTTTCAAAAATGTATAGCACATTTTTTAAATAGATACAAAGACTTTTGCTTCATTAAAATGTCCTATCTTTACATATAACGAGATCACAATTGATCTGTTTCTTCATATATGAAAACATTATTCTATTTTATTATTAAAAATGATAACACTCATGCATGCAATTAAAATAAAATACAAAGTTGATAATTTATAACATTATCACTTCCAATATCTCTTGAATACATAAATGTTACAATGAAAAATCATTAATGATCTTTTAAAGAAATTGAATTAATAAGAGGGATGTATTTATTTTGTTGTGAGGAACATATTAAGGTTAGAAATTCTTGTATAATCTTTACCATTTATATTAATAAATGATATAAGAATATTCTTATGGATATATATTGTGTATGGAAAACAAAAGAGACAAATACCTAAATTTGACATTATGTATTTCGATTACGTATATCATCATATTAGTTATGTGTTTAGAATTCCATGAAATTTCTTCTTTACATTTAAAACGTTTTTTTTCTTGGTATCATATACACAACTTCTAATTATTTAGTGACATATCCAATATTTATCATTTGTGTGTGTGTGTGTGTGTGTGTGTAGTTAGCAATGATTTTAAAATATGAAATACAGCATATTCGATTTACCGACTCGATCCGACTCCAAGTCAACGATCTGTTCTTTTTAACATTTTTTGCACAATTCAGCTCTTCTTTTGCAGCTAAACAGACCATTGATTCAAAGTCGGATTGAATCAGTAAATTGAATACACTAATAGAAAGGTTATCATGATTGTAGCTAAAGAGAAGAGCTCATCATTTATATAAAAAAAATTCTGAATCTCTCCATGCTAATGCAGTAAGAGAGAGCGTTTATATTGGCTGTAACCGTATATCGTAATCTGTAAGAATCGACTAATCACGGTCAAGTATTTCCCTCTCATTCAACTCTAAGAAGGGAATACTCAAAGGTGATTGGTTAATTTTTACATATTACAATAACGGTTACGGTCAATAAACGTTCCCTAAAAGTTGTTTATAGTTATGAACTTATAATTAAGAACCTAGCAAACAAGCTATCTATCGTCAACTATCTATCGTCACTGACATCAAAATGACGATAAAAAACATTAACTTGTTTGCTCTGAGTTACCATCAATTATCATGTACAATCTTGATCAAAAAATATTAGGCACTTTAACCATTATTTAACGTTCAAGTTCAAAAATTGATTTATGTCATTTGCTGTTTAAATAAACTCTTAATGCACATGCATAACCTATTTTTACTTTACAACTACTTTTGCTACTTTTACAACTGATTGTAAAGAAGAAGGGCAGCTCATTTTTAAAGCGATCTTATTATTTTTTTTTACCCAAATTCTCTTTATTTACAAATGGCATATAAGAAACTTCAACATATCATTCATCACTTATGATGCCAAATTCAATGTGGCAGCAGTTATTCGAGAGCTTAAGGGGATGTCTGGGTAGCGATCATGTAACTTTTTGTCTAACGAAAACGTGCTGCTCGAGTAGCTGCTGTGACCACATTGAATCTGACATC